CGGAAGAAACCGAGGACCTGGAGATGGACAAAACCTTCTGTGGGGAGGGTGAAGATTAGCTGGGCGATTTTTAGGGAAAATGGCAAATCAGCGGCTGGTTTCCTACTGAGAGATCATTCCGGTGCAGTGGTGGCGGTGGAAGGATTTCCGCTCAGTGGATCCTCGTCAAGCTGGGATGAAAGAGAGGAGGTTTTCAGACAGGCTCTAGAGTGGGGTGTGTCGTTTCAGCAGGATAAGGTGGAAGTTGAACTTCCTTATTCGAGCTTACTGGGGCGGTGCTTAGCTATTGCGGCCCAGCATGGGGGCGGGTGTGATGTTGGGCTAACACCAGCCCATTGCAACAAACCGGCTACATTGGTTGCTAAAATGGGGTGGGAGAGTCCATTTGGATGGAGGCCTGCAGATCCATTACCAAATTTCCTATGAGGAGCTTTATTTTTTTATTCTATCTCGTTTCCTTATATTTCATTTAAATTTCTTGTGGAGAGGTTTTGGTCTGGTCCCCCTCTTCACTTGTATGTATTGTTTTTGTCTGGTTTATAAAACTTCGCAAGTGTTCCCCAGCATTTGCCCCACTGATTTTGGTGATTGACCTATCGGGTTAAATATATATATATATATATATATATATATATAACATTTACTAGATTTTATTAAAAAATAAAGAAGTGTACACAAGGAGGGGGACCAAATCAAAACCCCTCCGGAGAGGCATTCCTCCCAAAACACACCAATATAACATCAAGACAGCGAAATCCATTGGGGGGACTAGGCCAAAACCCAATGGATAAAAAAACAAAACAATGCCAAAACTGACCCAAGAAAAATTAATGTGATAATCTCAGAGATGGAAGCCCGAAGAGATCCTTGTAATAAGATTGACGAGCTCGGTCCGGAAGAGAAATGGGCTGTGAAAGATAAACCTGATGGGCCGTCATTTGGATAGCAAGAAAGTGGGCTACCCAGATTGCTTCTCTAACAGTGTTGAAAAAGGAAATCCCCTTCATTTTAGACAAAAAGTCAACAACGGCTGGACTTCCTCGCTCCACCTACCTACTCCCCCGCTGTTGATGTATCTCGCCGCTTCTAAGGAGTCTGTCTCCCCCTGGAAATCCTGGAAGCCCTCACCAATCGCCCAACGCGTAGCTTGAAGCACAGCCAACAATTCCGCTTCGAGTGAAGAAGAAGCTTGAATCGGGAAGGAGTAACTTTAGGCTTATTCCATTTAACTGTCTTAATAATGGGGCGATCAGCTCTGAAGTTAAATGAAATCAGACCTTCTTCATATAGAACTCTTCCCACTGTTTTAAGCTTGTCAGTAGGAAAACTACAGACCCAAACTCGAGTATACAATTTGATCTGATCAAGAAAATTAATCTGAGAGGGAAAAGAGTCACTTGAACCCCAAATGATACTACAGTTGGATTTCCAAATATGCCAACAAATTATTCGAGGCAGTAAACTACCAAATGTATATATTTGAGTGAAGTAAATGTCGAAGAACATTTATCAGGTTTTATTAAAGAACATCGTAAATTACAAATGGGGGGACATAAGGTCTCACCCAAAAAAAAACATTAAAAAAAATAAACCCATTATGATAAAGTGAAGCAAAAATGTCCCCATTTGAAGATTTCAAGCTATACCTCTCCTCGATGTTCATCCTCACCAAAGCAGACCCGAGCGAGACCCTATACATGTATTTTGCGGTAGCCAACCGAGCTTTAAGCTCGGTGTTGCTGAAAGAATCAGACCGAGTTCAGCAGCCTATATATTTTGTGAGTAAGACGCTAAACAACCCAGAGATGAGGTATACCCTGATGGAGATGACGATCTTGGCCCTCATTGTCTCCATTAAGCGGGACCTCAAGAATCTTTCCGATAAAGGAAAGGTCAACTTCTCACACTGTTTTAGGGAAGCGAATAAGGCGGCCCATTCTCTCGCCTAGGGGTGGGCAAAAATACCGAAAAATCGGTATACCGCACTTACCGTACCGAAAAATACCGGAAAATACTGAAATATTGGTATACCGTCATTTTCGGTACGGTATCATACCGTACCGATCTATTTCGGTACGGTAACGGTAAATGTACGTTTTCAAATACCGCGGTATACCGGTATAATACCGTACCGACTCCCTACTCAACAATTACTTTTAATTCTAATATATTGTAAAAATCCATTACAATTTTGAAGCCCAAAATTAATACGGAGTACTTAAGTTGGTTACAAATACAAAAATACAAAAAAAGGTCCAATTTTTCAAACCCACTATAACCTTATAGGCTTCTGCTACGCTAACCTTAATGACTAATGAGTAATGTACAAATGTCAAGAAACAAGTCTATCTTGTTCCAAGAGCTTGCAAGTTGTGATGGCTGGGCCGCTAAGTAGCTGACGAGTGAAGATACACAAAGTTGTTCGAAAGTGTATCTATGTAGATACACTTATGTGACAAGTGTATCTACATAGGGATTCCGCAAGTCGAGACACACAAAGTTGTTCGAAAGTCTTATATCCATGTTGTTTGAATAGTTTTATTTATTTTTATTAGAGATCACTACTGATTTAATTATATCTATATTGTTCAAGTTATTTTAGGAGAACGTGTTACTTTTTAATATGTGGCATGTTGAACTGCTTAAATATACTAATGATAATTATTGTTCAATATTTAATTGACATCAATAGATTATTAATTGTATTTCGTAACAGTTTAATAATAGATTTAATATGCCGCTACTAATAACGATTTAGTATATTTTGTTAGTCCATGAAAATTTTTTGTATTGGAAAACATGCACGGTAATTTACCGATACCGTACCGTTACCGAACCGAAACTTCGGTATACCAAAATGCGGTATACCGAAACTTCGGTAAGGTAAAGGTATGCAAATTTTGCATACCGGAAGTTTTGGTACGGCAAAGGTATGTGAAAAAATATAAGGTATACCGTACCGAACCACCCCTATTCTCACCCAACATATGTTACCTATCTCTAATAATTTTACTTTTTTTTCAATTCATCTTTATTACCGACTACTTTTAAAATGGCTTTATCTTAAGATCTTTCGAATATTCCCTTTATTCGGTCTTACATTATTGGGTAAGGTCTAGCTCTCCAAGAACTTGGTATTTGATTCATGAGCCAAACTATTCCGCTAGAATATACCTTGATAAATACTCCGTATAATTGTTAATAACAATGGTACACGAAGTACAGTTACTCTACTCAAGTGTAGATGTCATTAAATATAGGGAAAAGGGTCATTCATATAGGGCCTCAAACTTACATAAAAGGGTTAAATAAAGCCTTATATAGGAGGCTCTGTCCGGTCGACGTCATTTGTGACGGTTTCCGGTGAAATTTTTTGATGAAATGTTTTGAGCATCTTATTCATTAAGTCTAGTTTACGCATACCGAATTTGAACTAAAACTTCAATCGGGAAGATAACTGCGCAATTATCTTCAAGAATTTATTTGAATGTCTTCCTGATTGAAGTTTTAGCTGAAATTTGGTATGAGTAAACTAGACTTAATGAATAAGATGCTCAAAAAATTTCATCAGAAAAATTCACCGGGAACCGCACCAAATGGCGACGCCCGAACAGAACCTCCTATATAAGACTTATTTGACATTTTTATGTAAGTTCGAGACCCTGTTTGATCTTTTTCCCTTAAATATAATTGTTAATACAAGTAACAATGTTACACGAAGTACTAAAGTTACTATTCTCAAATGTGGATGTCATTAATTTTAGGGAATTAAGGATGTTTCTATTGAACTTATTTCAGCCCCAAACAGACCAGATCATACATTTACAATTATAAAATACAAATAGACCATACATTTACTAGATCATATTATATCAACTCAAATCAAACCAAATCAGACTTGAACAAACCACACTAGATCAAATAAAACTGATAAATCCAATCCAATTAAAAACATCTTAAAAATATGTATCCATGTCCACTTAATATTGTGAAGTAAAGAGTAAGTTCACCAGTTGCAACTTGTAACAATTTGTTTAATTAGTTGTGAAGCTACAATAAGATAGATTACATTAAGACATTTGTTGTTAGAAACTATTTCATTGATGATATGTAGAGTGAAAGTGTTTTACAAAAAGAGAATTTCAAGAGTCCAATTTTTTTAGCGAAGCATGAACTTGCAATTAGTAGAGCAGATAAACTTTTCAGAAGATAGTAAAAATGATTTGATTTTACCAACATTGTAGCAACGGACCAGAGCAAAGAATGAAAATATATCCTCAAAGCTATTACGGAAAGTATATCCGAGCTGAAACGGAAAGCAACTTCTTTGTATACCAAACAAAAATATACCAACCTAGTTCAAAATTACATGGATAATAATAATAATAATAATAATAATAATAATAATAATAATAATAATAATAATAATAATAATAATAATAATAATAATAATAATAATAATAATAATAATAATAATAATAATAATAATAATAATAATAATAATAATAATAATAATAATAATAATAATAATAATAATAATAATAATAATAATAATAATAATAATAATAATAATAATAATAATAATAATAATAATAATAATAATAATAATAATAATAATAATAATAATAATAATAATAATAATAATAATAATAATAATAATAATAATAATAATAATAATAATAATAATAACATAAAGCCAATTCAAGGACGTGATCCCTCATGTATCACACCTTTGAATGGGGTAGAAATAATGTCAATTAATGACCTTGCATATCGAGCATCTCATCCAGTCGCTTCACCTTCTCCAATCCTTCACTAATCATGAAACGAATCCTTTGCTTATCATTGCAACTCCTGCCGTTCTCCATCTCCTTCCTTATCATGTGACTCAGCTCGGCTGTGACCACAAAAATGATAAGCTTGGAGCACATAAAAACTATGAAGGTTTTTTCTACATTACATATAATTGTTGGAAAACACTTCTCAAGGCAACAAGGGATGGAGGGAATAATTTTTATTATCTAGTAGAGTCATGTAACGCATTGAATGGATCAACATCAACTGGCAGGTGTCAACAAAAACTCCCAAAAGCTCTCATTATATAGTAGACATTCATATATTATTATTGCTGACATTTTTGAAAACAAAAAAAAAAAACGAAAAATAAAGACCACACTGAAATAGCTTCTTGAATCACACTTGAAGCTGGCATAACCAAATAAATTTCTACTCTAGAGTTGGCAGCACCATTGCTCTTGAAATTGCTGCAAGGGGGCTACGAGCAGCAGACTGCAGCCTATTTGCCTAGCAGGGGCTTGAGCAGATCCCTTCTGAACATGGGACTGGACCCACTCTTAGCGTATGGTCAACTTTTCGATAAACATTCATATTAAGATACTATGTGCAATGAAGTTAAGTTGGTCGGCTAGGTAAGATGTAGTAGGGAAGTTACTTTAGAAGTGCCCAACACTACACTTTGGAGCCCCCATCTAAAGAACAGACTCTTTGACTTGCTCTGTTCCATTACTAAGGGAGAAAATGCATGTTCATAATAATATTGAGGCTTAAAGACACCTATAGTCCCTGCAAATATGACACATTTTATATTAGATCCCTTCAAAAAAAAATCATTTCTGTAATATGCAATACTTTCTTTTTAATTTATCTCTAAAGCCAAGACCACTCTATTAAGAAAATAATTAGTGCATGTTAAATGCTCATAGGAGAGTTAAAACAATGTAAAACTAGTCATTCACGTTTTGAAAATAGGTTTTTACGACCTTCTAAAATATAAAATTACATAGGGAAAACTCTCAAATCGGCCTTTGAAGAATACCAACAAAATCAATTAAGCCTTCGAACTAACTAACTAAGAAAACACCCAATTAATTAAACCCATTAACTTTATAAAAACAGCCAAATGTAAAATTTAGTAGGTTGATTGCCGGTTAGCCGGTCATTTGCTTACGTGGAAATCCATGTTGTCTTATTTTGATGTTTTTCCTTTTATTTTGCTTTTTTTCTTTCCTTACAGTAAGCAGACATCACCGGTCAATTTCACAAGCTCATATAGGTCCCCGCCGTCATTTTCAAATGCCGGAAGAAGAGATCGCCGCCGATTTTGCATTACCGGGTTCCTTGGTCGCCTTCGCGAGCTCGCCACCATGGATTTCAATGGATGCTCCTTGTTCCCCTAGTTCCTCCGATGGCGGGCTTAAAAGAAAGAAGGGGAGGAGTGAGGCGGGCTGAAGAAGAAGGAAGGGGGGTGAGGCATGCTGAAGAAGAAGGAAGGGGGAGGGTGGGGCGGGCTGAAGAAGAAGAAGAAAGTGGGAGGGTAGGCTGGGCTGGGAGGGTGGAGAAAGAATGGAAAAAGGAAATTAAAAAAAAAAAGTAGTACAACGTGTGTCAAATGACCGGTTAACCTCGAATCAACCCGCTAAATATACTCCCTTCGTCCCATAAAACTTTACCAAATTTGACCGGCATGAAGAATAATAAAGTAAAAACTGTGTGATTGAGATTTGTGTAGATGAGAGAGAAATAATAAGAACCACAAATCAATTGATTAAAATGGAAAGTGAACAAAAATTTTGGGACAATAAAAAGGGAAAGATGACAAAGTTATAAGGGACAAAGGAAGTACATTTCATTGTTTATATAGTTCACGAGTTTAATTGGGTGTTTTTATAGCTTGAGCGTTTAATTGATTTTTTTAGTATACTTTAAGGTCCGATTTGATATTTTTTTCAATTACATACGTAGTATTATTTGAATGACATTACAAGGAATGGGAAAGAATCTATTAGTTAGAGTTATTTTGTTGTCAAACGGAGGTTATTATAATGGGTGATGAATTAAAAAAAATGTAGATTTTAGGGATGAAAAATAAAATACAAAAAATTGAAAGCGTGCAAAACCAAATGCATTACATTTGTGGGGACTACAAACATATATAAGCCTAAATTTGAAGATCTATCAAGGAATCAAATATGTGGCTTGCTCCATATACTCACATTAACAACGGAAAGGGAAAGAGACAATTCCCTAAATAGGAGTAAAACATGAAAGAAGTGCAAAAATAGGAGTAAGTTTTTAAAACTTCCCAAATATGAGTACTTTTTCAAGGTTGGACAAGGATACCTCTATAAGCTTCGGACTCCTATTTAGGGACAAGGAGTGTGTTTTACTCTTATTAAGGGAAAATACTTAAAGAAAATGGTGTTGGCTTCGATAATCTTGTAAGGAATACGGATACAGCTAATTTAGGAACTTAAGCATCTTGGAGAGCCACAGCCCAAAAGCTAGTTGTTAAGGTGGGAGAACCAGGCACTTAAGAACCCACCAAGCATCCATTCTACTCGATGTGGGACTTTTGGCATCCCATACTACCTAGGCCCCTAACAATACACACTCCCCGGAAAGCCGATGTCCCGGCGGCAATACTCGGCAACACTTCACTCGGCCGTACTTCACTCAGCCGATCCACCGGTCAGAACCCTCCGCCAGTAGCCCCTTTTTGCCCCGTCGACAACCGTCTGTGATACTATTGTTAGGAACATAAGCAACTTGGAGAACCACAACCCAAAATCTAGCTCTTAAGGTGGGAGAACCAGGCACTTGATAACTCCACTAAGCATCCCATTCTACTTGGTGTGGGACTTTTGGTATCCCATACTACCTAGGTCCCTAGCAGCTAACATGGAAGCTTAATAGTATAGCTGCCAATACTCCTCTATATTCATCAACTCCTGGAAAAACTACCAAACCATTCTTATATTTGTTTCTTAGAGACACGACGTTAACTTACCTTCAGTGCCTCAACATTGACGGATAGCAATCAACTGCAACAGCCGCCCGATTGTTTAGCTTGGGATATTACATTTAAATGTGGCGTTTTTCAATCACAAGATGAATTACTTGTCTATGTTGAATTCAAGACGAAACCTAAACGTGAGGTGTTGGAACCGTCCTGTATTAAACTGGTACAGCCCCAAAGATGTATCATAGTTTGAACAAATGGATAAATAAGTCCAAGAAATATAATATAAGGTGGGTCAAAGGCTGGATTTCTAGACCAGAGCATTCATGTCTTTATACTGCATATCATGAAATTATACAGGAATAGAGATGCCAGGCAGCCAGCCTAACCGAAGTACTGAACACTTGAAGTTTAAGTCCAGCAACAAAAATGAGTTGTGTTTAAAAGATTCACCTCTAGCATCAATAGGAGCTCTTCTTGCAGTCCTGAGAGCGTTTCTGTATAATTGGAGTACCCGAGCTCGAAGAAGGAAGTCCTGAAGATCTAATGGGAGAACCATCACATACCCTCCGATCCTTGAAGTAAACGCACCGTTCCAATCAAATTCAACCCGATCGGGCTGCTTCAACATTCATCTGAGAAGCTATGTGTGCAATAATCAGCGGATTGATATTTACCCGAGCTTTTCATAAAGCACATACAACCAATTGAAGCTACAGACTTATAAAGGGATAGGTACTAGAAATGATGAGGATAGAGGTTGGTTTCTTCTCATTAGTCATTAGGATTGAGACATTCTGTCATTCGGCAGCCCAGTCCCATTTTGACTAGCTTAGCAATGGTGAATAGGTGGACTTTTTTGGTCAATTATTTTGATTATTATATTTGTATATAATTTAAAAAATTTATGCTTTTATGTAAAATATTTTAGATAAGGAAAATGTTGATATACTTTTCATATTTTAAAAAATTTCATATTAAAATAACATTATAGATTAAAGTTGATTGTCATTGATCAAGAAAAGTCAATTTAGGTGTAATTATATAAGGTATAATTATTTCACCCAAACACTCCATGCAACCTTTTTTAAAAGGATGGAGTACATTTCATAAGGTGTAATCATTTTTTAAAAGGATGGAGTACATTTCATAATCAGGTAATTTAATCTGAAGTGGCCCACCTAGGTGTAATTATTTCACCCAAACACTCCATGCAACCTTTTTTAAGTGGTGTAATAATTGCAAAAAGTTCCATTCTGGAAAATGTCGAGATCCACCTAGGTGTTATCAATGCGGAGACACGGGGACATCTTAAATTAAACTGCCCTGAGTTAGGAAATGCAGGGACACCAGTAACAGGAAGCGAGAGATCTGGAGGGTGTGTATGAGTAACTACCTCAGGTCCTGCGGGGCTGGGGTGTTACAGGTGGTATAAGAGCAACCCCACGACAGTGTGTTGATCCGTTGGATATCGGGCGGATACTTAGCAGGTGAAGATTCTAGGATTTGATTGAGATTTGAGATTGGTTTATGGGCACAACGAGGACGTTGCGTTCCTAAGTGTGGGTGATTGTAATACCCGAGATTAATTCAAAACGATTAATAGTACTACTCATACCAAAGAGGTGCATCTCCTTTTAAGGGAACTCATCACCCAAGAACTCCAAAGTTAAGCGTGCTTGCACGGGATGTGAGGACAGTCCTACTCAGGGCGCGCATGAGTGAGCACAAAATGCGCGATAAAGGCTTGTGGTGGTTTGTGAGGGCAGTACCTCGGGGCCTGCGGGGCCGGGGTGTTACAACATATGTTTTGTGAACTGCGAATAGAGGATAGATGATCGGCCAAGTGGCCCACCAGATCACCACCAACGCAACTTCAAGTCCGCAACGGCACTTCACGAACATGAAAAATCCAAAAGAATTAGGGCTTGTTTACTACTTTTTCCTTTTTTTTTAATATAAGGATCAGATTTTATATTATAATCGAGAAAAGATACTAGCTAACATCCAGACTTTTATAACATATCCAATTGTGAGCCCTGGGAATAAACATAGTGATAGAGTATATGTAACACCGCCCCCAAGTATTTGTACATTATCAAATTATGTATCGAACCATGAGAAATGAATAAACGCATTTTACGTGATTGTAAATTTTGATCAGTTCTTTTATGTGAATAGTAAAATTCACGAGGGGCCCGCACCGGAACTGGGGGCGTCCGATATTATCAGGACCACATATTATATTCATCTGGGTCTAGATAATACTTATATGATGGTGGATATCCATGTTGGGCTGTAGAGACCATGTGAGTTGGCCAGTTGTGCATATAAGGCCCATTTATCGATATCGGCGTACTGCCAGAGAAAAGCCATAATAAATTATGGAGACCGCTAAATTAAAAGTTGGGGAATATATATTCATTCTCTAAGACCATACTAATTGGGAGAATGACACATATTTTATTTGACCCGATAAAATGAAATTTAATTAAAATAGTCCGGAAAATATAACTTTCGGGACCAAGTGTACACTTGGGGACATAAAGGGATGACCAGTGACCACACATCTAAGTGGGGGCCATCCCCACGATTTTAGTCTGCAAATGACAAGGGGGAGCCGCACAAAGAGATAGGAAAAGGAGCATGAATTGATTGGGATCAAAACAATAAAATAAATGGGACCCCTCCCATGTTATTATTGGGAGAAATGCCAAAAAGGCATTCTCAATCACCCCAACTCATAACAGATCGGCCATACCATCTTCCTTAAGGACAGAAGGTCTGAAAATACTCCATTTTCATCCTCCATTCACGCACGCACAAAGCAAGGGGAGGAAGAAGGAAGGGAAAAGAGAAGAGAAACGAGGAGTTTAGGTGGGAAAACTTGTGATTAACAAGGTAATGACTTCATTAATCCCATTTTTCTCTTTAATCATATTTCATACCCTTAGGATTGTTCTACACATTTCAAAGTGTATAATGGGGGTTAAAAGGTAGTTCTATGTCCAAGAACGGACATAGAGGCCAAAGTAACGTGTTCTTCGGAAAATAACCTTTTACAGGCTATTTGTGTTGATATGAGTTTTATGATGATAAAACCTTATTATTAACTTGTATAAGGTATTTCAAGAACTTTCACGGAGTCGAAAGAGTCTCCGGAGTTGTCGCCGGAGTTCGTTGAAGTTCGCCAGAGTTTCGCCGGAGCTCAATAAGAAAGGCTAGAACTCCATAAGCTTCATTAAGGTGAGAAGACGGCTATATGCTTTATAACTTTTGCGTGAGGCATGAGATTACCTAAATTAATCAAGAATATGTTTTATGAATTGGTTAATGGTATCAAAGCATGTGTTATGTCATATTAAGGAATATAACACAGTGGAAAGCATGATATGGAGGTTTGATTAGTGAAAATATTATAAATTGATATGTATGATGTTCCAGGGACCCAAATAGGTATTTTTGGATTAAGGACGTCAAGGAGTACACGTATGTAAAATTTCACGTTAATCGGACTTCGTTTGGGCGGTCAAACGGGCGTTGACCGCCAAGTCAACTGTTATACTCGACCGGGTATTGGCAAATACCCGACCGGGTATTTATTGGAATTAGCCCCAGGAGCTACTGCCTCCTATACCCGACCGGGTATAGGTGGGTACCCGACCGGGTATTGGGTTTTACACCCAAACGGTCAGTTTTGAATGAGTATGACGTGGGGCGTTCGGGTGAGAACCGTCCACGTTGATCATTAAGGATTATTATATGACTATAAGGCTAGGTATTGCCCATAGTTAGAGGAATGAAAGGTTAGCCATATCCAGGTTAGGGTTTGGTAAGGAATAAGGTTGGGGTTGAGTATTCCCAGGACGGTAAATGATCCTGAAACTCGGTTAGGGTTGAGTATCTCCGGGATAGTAAATGATCCTGAAACTCGGTTGGGGTTGAGTATCCATGAGACGGTAAATGATCCTAAAACTCAGTTGGGGTTGAATCTAGCTAGTGAGCTAGGCATTCGGGAATGGATGAGAAAGGTCGGGTAAGTACCTTATCTCTAAAAGACTCTTTAAACGAAAATGACCTACGGGTCAAGTATTTTACAAGTATATACAGTATGTATCATCTTGTGGATGGGGGTAACGATGGTTACACACACATGTGTGTGTATATATAGTGGAAAGATCAAGTACAAACTGTGCTTATTGTGCAAACATTTGTACGATGCACTTTGACGTTCTTTATATTGCATATTGAGGTTCAAAGTAGTGCATATTATTCAGTCATAATATAGCCGTTGCACATTAACGTTTAACAAGTTGCACCCTAAAAAAGTTGGGTTTTATTACAAAAATGCTACATTGCCTTTATGTTCTTCGGATCAACTCATCGGACGGTCAAGATGAGTTCGTAGTTTGTAAATTAAGGAGAGTTTATATTTGATCTCTATTCTATATATATATATATATGAGGAAAGTTCATGTCAGGACCTCCAAAAACGGACCTCCGTACGGACCTCGGCGTTTGGGCCCCTTCCCTGTGGAATTTTTTGATGAAACTTTTTGAGTATGTTCTTCATCAAGTCTAGTTTATCCATACCAAATTTCAGCTAAAAATTCCATCGGAAAGGCAGTCAAATGATTTTTGGAAGTTAAATGCATTTTATATGTATATAAAGTGCGCAGTTAACTTCCAAAAATCATTTGACTGCCTTCCCGATGGAATTTTTAGCTGAAATTTGGTATGGATAAACTAGACTTGATGAAGAACAAGCTCAAAACATTTCATCAAAAAATTCCACCGGGAAGAGGCCCAAACGTAGAGGTACGTACGGAGGTCCGATCCGGATGGTCCTGACACGAAGACTACTCATATATATATAGCCCGAAAACCACCGCTGAGCGGTGTGGTAAATGTCGGAGAACATTTACCAGATTTATTGAAAATTATATGTACAAGGGGTTCAAGATTGGAGGTGAAAAACCGCTCCAAAAATTACAAGTTGAGAAAGATAAAATTAAAAATAAAAAGGTAGGGTGCATCCAAAGTGATTATGCGTGGCCCAGTGAATTGGGTCTTCGAATCCGTCCAAGCATAAGAGTCCGTCCAAGCCAAGGGAATAAAACATCGACATAATAGTGCCAAACGGTGTGGAGAAAGATCTAGGGTTTTCAATCATATTATTCGTTGGAGAGAGGGGATATCGAACAGCCTCCTCTTGTTCATCATGTATATATATGTACATATATATATGTATATGTGTGTGTGTGTGTATCACCCTATTTTTGGGTCTCGTGTCTGAAACATTAGTTATTCCTCATATAGCCTGCTTGTCACTAGTACTTTCTATGGAGTACTGACCCCTTCGGGGGCCTCGCATTTTTCAGGTTAAGGCTAGAGTCTTATTCCTACACCTTTGCCTAGGGTGATCACCAAATAACGAAGACGTGGTTCGTGCTTCCATTCTTATTTGAAACTATGTAACTGCTCATGGATATTTAAACAATGTTTCTATTAAACTATTGAAGGGTCTGCGTGCTCATGTTTGCCACGTGTGGCTAATTATCAAACATATTTTATTCCCGCATTTGTTTGATTAATATATTGATGTTGATTGTATGGATTTACTAATCGGATTGTCAATAGAATCTATCAGACGCCTTGTATGATTTAATAAGAATGAACTACGTTGTTCGTATGGGTTGTACGACGGTTGTCTACGCGGCACAGATGCGGTCCGGGGCGTGACAGTATATGGGCCCGAACCCTCGCCCCACATACTCTTGGACATACAGACGACCCAA